CATAAATACATACATACATACATGCCAACACACACACAGATATATATATATATACATACACACATACACACACATGTATACATATACGCAGGTACATAGAGACGAACGCGCATACATACCTACATGTGCATGTTTACGGCAGTGTGCGAAAAGCCCGCAGTGCACAGGGATGCCATGTCCAGCTGCTGGATCTGGTTCGCGGGAGTCCCCGTTCAAAGGAATGGGTCAGCCTTTTAGAGTGGTACTCCCTTCCAGATGTGCTCCATCCTAAACCCTAAAATACAAATCCTAAACCCTCTAACCTCACACCCTAAATCCTGACCCAGGCAAGGAAGCTTAAAAAATTGTCTCACGCCGACCTTCGACTATGGATCCTCGCCTGGCTTGTCCGAGTTGTGAAGCGTAAATCCTAAGCCAGGCAAAACTGCGTTGTGCGAGTGTGCTTGTCGAAAGCCGGCCAAAACCCAACATCCTGCTAAGTCGGTCCATCTTTGCCATGCCGGAGGGAAAAACTCGGGTTAAACCCTGAAGCCTAGAGTAATGAAATAGCGATTTCATGACTTTTCACACCGGGATGGCACAAGCTGTGCGAAAGCGAGGGGGCTCTGACAGCTTCCGTTCTTCCAACAACTTGCGGACAGTTGCCCAGTCGCCTTGCAGGAACACAAAGGGTAGGATTTGGAGCCGCATGTAGAGGTTAGGATCAAGGATTTAGGGCTCGGTGGAGTTTAGGACTTTGGGGCTTTCAGGACCTTGGTTTTGGTGTTCTTGTACCTTCTCTCAGACCAAGGTCCTGCCATATCGAGTGGTCACTGGTTTGATTTTATCGGTGATTAAGGTGGAGGGCTTTTCTTCACGACATTCGCTCCCGGGCCCTGGGTCAGCTACATGGAGTTCTGTTGGAGCAGCACAGAGGTGTCTGGACTTCAGCTAGGCTCAAGCACCGTCGGGGGTTTTTATGGCCTGCCAGAGCATCACTCACATGATCTCTCACATGCTCAGCCTCATGCTCAGCCTCTTGCGAAGCCCCGACATGGCCTCATCCACAGAGCCCAGGTTCCTGCAGGCCCCCGTGTAGTAGAACAAAAGATCTGCGACAGCAACCGAAGCCTCGGACCACAGCGGCTCATGCCCATGCTCTGGTCGGGCGAGCCCAGAAGCTGTTGCAGAGCCTGTGGCCAGAGAAGTCATGAGCCGATGGCTCCTGAGATGCACATCTCTAACATAGAAGCCTAAGCAATTGCAAATTATCTTTTCGCGGCTCCTTACTATAATGATCGGATCATATACAACGAAAAGCCCTATTCGAATTCTCAAGGCATGTGTTTTACCCAGCTCTCTTTTTTCCATGTCCTCCGTGGGTCAAGTCCCGGCCCGAAGTTCCAAAAAAGCGAATGCCGGTGACAAAGAGAGAGTTTTGGATTTAGGGTGCAACAGTTGAAGGCTTTTTGTTGCCACCTGGGCCGAAGTTCCCGAAACAGCGTCAACAGGGGCGTTACTATGAGTGACGTATGCTCCTCAGCCCATGCCTCAAAAGACCTGTGCACCGATCAGGCATAAAGAAGCATATCGAACAATCCTGCAGGATCCCGTAGTATGCCCCAGCATGATCCGCAAGGCCCACTCCCCAACTCCGAGCTATCCCAGGCCTGAGTCGCAGTCCCACTCAGCTACAGGCCCTAAAAGAAAGTGGGTTTTCCGTTTGGGGGCCTGCATTGAGTTCCTGCAGCCCCTGGCCTAAGACGAGGAATGGATTGCAGAGGCAGCTCGCCAGAAGCCGTAGCCTGGAGGAGACAGGGGGAAAATCGACACCCCGGGAGTTCCATCCCATCATGGTTGGCACTTCCACCGGCTCGCCTTGTGTGTGAGATAGTGCTAGTAGTGTAATGGTGATGATTCTCATTCTTGTTCTGATGTTATGCATGGCGCTAGTCTTACCACTGGGTCTTGAGAGAAGAAGAATCCCAGAGCTTTCTCTTGCGAATGCTCCTGTCATGCCAGAGGGCTCGGATGAGGGGGCCGCAGCCGTAGCCGTAGCGAGGGGGAGGAGTAGGAGGAGTGGGACCCAGTCTTGGAAGAAAGTTGCCTTTGTGACGCCCATTTGCCAATCGGCTGCCGCAAGGAGTTGGCGACCCTCTTTCGCGAGCCGCCTGGCATCAGTTCTCTGGTTGGTCTGCACGGCTTGTTGTTTGAGGCTTTAACAGAGCCTTAGGCCTCAAGTTGAAGGTTTACAACACGATTTGGGTGAGAAGGTCTCAGCGCACTGCGGGCAGTTCGTTGATCATGGCAAGTCTGTGCTGTCACGTGTCTGGTGCCTGCGTGTAGCCTCGAAGACCTTAGCCGAAAGTCTCATGTTGATACCTTGTCTTGCAACACTTGGATACTTGGTGTGGGAGCCTTGGGGCAACTTTGCGGATCTGCATCCTGATCCCGCTAAGCCTACCTCCCCAAAAGAGTCCTAGATGTGACCAGCCCAGGTACGAACCTTTGAGCAGGTGGGACAAGTTTGCTTGGCATCGACGCTCGCGGGTGTATCATGTAGCAGCAAGGGGGGCGTACGTGCTAGGAGTGGCATGTGGGCATCCTTGCACAGAACATGTGTGCCCGTTGGGCTGAGCTTCTGAGCTCCGTTTCTTCCTCCAGGCAGCCGGGCTGGCGAAACCTGCAGGATCTTTTCTGCTAGACTTTACCTTAAGCCCTGCATCCCACCAGCAGAAGGTGCCCTGCGACCAATTCATTTTCCTTCCGCTTCTTACAGTTGCAGAATCAGAGGTTTTGGCCGGCTGAAGGAAAGCCACATAGAGTTCATGGTTGGGAGCTGGTAGCAAGGTGAAGTTGCAAGCTGCGACACTCTGGTCTGCACTCACCCCTAAGCCCTGCATAAGCCCTAGACCCCAAGTTTGCCATAGAGTCCGAGTCGCGAGAGCGGAAGTGAGCCATAACAACCTACTTACACCCAAACCCCTCTCACCCCTCTCATAAAGTTTGCCATGGAGGAAAAAAGGCAAACCCGCTGGTGCTGCTAAACCCTCTGGATGCAACGGCAGAGAGAGAGAGAGAGAGAGAGGGGTGTACAGTCGAACCCCCCCTCGGTACGTAGGTTGGTACGTGTAGCCACTCCCCGAAAGCCCCAGAACGCTGGGGGGCCCTATGGGCCGGGGAGCTTGACACGCTCCCCTAACCTGAAGGAAGAAGAAGAAGGTGAGACGTCCCCATGCCCGGGAGAGAGAGAGAGAGAGAGCCACATACCCCCCAAAGCATCCTCTTTAGGTTCTTACCGAAATCACAAGCACCCGGGCAGGTGGCCGGCTGTGTCCCATGCCACAGCCGGCGGCCCAGAGTTGCTGGGTTTCGGGGTTCGGTATCATCATATAAGAATCCTGTAGGGGCAAGAAGGGACTGCCGTTCATGCTACACGGGAGGTAGATACAGTTTAGAAGGGAAGACTGTTTCTGCTATTGCTATTATGCTACGCCAAGAAAGAGGAATAGGACATGTGCAACCCTAAAAAACTATTGAGAGCGTAAACACTTTAACCATGACTTAATCTGACCGTTATAGAACATGCCTCGCCTGGATTGTCCGAGCATGAGAGCCGACAGCCTAAACCCGGTTTTATGATCCGTGTCAAAGAGAGGTACAGCACCGGGGATGTCAGAGTCAGGGAATTTTGACAGTTTGAGGTTCGGGGTCCTTCTACATCTCCGAGCTCCGAGGTTCCGGAGGTGAAAGCAGAAGAAAAGTTACACTATGCGTCTATGGGTCATGCAGTGGCATAAGTATAAGCGTGCCTTCAAGCCCACATAAAACTATATGAATGGTCACAGTTAAGAGAGTCTAGACGCGGGGGCAGCAATGGGACAGGCCCTGCAACATGCTCCTCTACAGTGGGGGTATTTTTGTCCAGAGTGTTGGATTCAGATTCTGAGTTTGACGGTCTAAGCCCTGAAACCCACGCACTTGCAGACTAAAACCCTACCACGTAGAATTCTAGACACTGCAGCCATCGAGGTCCGAGTGTGAGTGCTGAAGCGAAGCAAAGAGCAACCGAAGCTCAGCACTATTGAATGCTCATGAGCTTTTGTCAAGTGTTGTCAGGCTTTATGAGGTGAGAGACCTAACCCGAACCGCCTAGAAGAGAAAGCCACAAACCTTTAACCCTAAAGCGCGGAACCCAACAACTGCTTAGCAGCAGCCCGAAAACAGACCCACCGACAACCACAAGTCGTTTCAATCACAGCTTGAAAACCTCCTACGTTGAAGCTCGCTTGACTTGACAGCCTACCCGTCTAGGTGAACCTACCTAGCCGGGCCTTGTTGACGAAGGAGCAGTATTCTCTGCAGACCTTGCCTGGTGCATGGGGGTGAGCCTTAAGCCCTAATTGAGAATAATTGGGGTGGTTGGGGCGCGACTACATGCTGACGCGAGCGCGCAATAAGTGGGTGTGCCCCTATTTCTAAAAGGTGCACCCACGCGCGCACACTGTGTACACGCCCTGAGCCCTGAGTCCTAAACCCTGTCGTGCTGTTTTGGTCTCACTTCAGCAGACTCTCGAACCCATGCGCCTCACCTGGACCGTCCAAATGTGAGTGCCGAGATCCTAAACCTTAAATTCCTTAAATCCTAAACCTTAAATTCCCCAAATCCTAAACCGCAAATTCCCTAAATCCCAAGCCCAAACCTTAAATTCCCTAAATCCGAAACCTGAAATCCCAAACTTCCGGAAAACACCCGAACCAGAGGCCTGGCATCGCTTGGGCCGCTTCGCGAAGCCCCCAGGGACCCCGGTAGCCCAGTCCCTGGCGCGGCGCCTTGGGGAGGTCCTCCCTTGTTTTGCACACAGAAGAGTGTAGGGTTTTGGGGGGTGTAGGGTAGAAAAGGGTTGATGGATCAAAAACAGAACAGGGCGTTGAGGGTTTAGGGTTCGGGTTCAACGCCTGGCAGTTGAGGGTTCAGGAAGTTTAGGGTCCAGGGCTTAGGGCTTGAACCCCTAAACCCTAAGCCCTAAACCCTGACCGTCAGTTCGGCCCTTTGGGCCTAGGGCCTAAGCGTTGGGAGCCGAAGTCCACTTTGAGCCCTGGGCCGGTGTCACCCGTGCGCTACGACGACGATATTAATACTACGTAAAATAGTAACGACAATAGCAATAATCATCATAATGAAAACAGTCATAATCGCAATAGTAGCAACAATAGCAATACTGATAATAATGCTAATGGTGGATGGCACCCAACAGTGGCCCTAGATTGAGCAACGCCCCACGTAGCTTCACGATAGCCGCGGCCTTGTGGAAGAAACTGCACATCCGTGGAGGCTCTTGATGGCGTCGGGATCGCGAGCTTCGATGTGCGGGCCCAAAGAACGGGCGACCGTACTACGTTGATACGATGCAACATGCTTGTGCTAATTTCGGGTCGAGCCGGTTGTCTTTCCCGCGATCCCTCTCTCTCGTGGTGAAGAAAGAGGTGGATGTCACATGGCAACCCTTCAGCAAAACATCTTGCTTTGTGCAGCCATTTTCACGCGGTTCAATTTGCCCACTACTTGCTTCCGTATGGAATCGCCATGCCGGTGCATGTCGGCAAGCTTCTGGCATTCATCGTCCATCATGTGGCCAGCATGCGGCAAGGCCACCACAGTCACGGTCACTCGGTTTGGCCATGGGCACCGGGTGAGAGGTTGTCGACGGTGGCAGTGCAAGCAGAGCTCGAAGCACATCTTCGGAAAGCCCCTGGGTCACCCTTGTTGAAATTCAACAAGGGATACCCGGTATATAGGAGCCCAGCAGAAGGGGAATTAAAGTTCCTTAACGTTTCAGACAGACTGTCGGACGACGCCGAGCTCAGCGAGTGCCGCGGGAACTTGAGCAGCATAGTGGATGCACTCACACGGTCCTGCCAAACCGAGTGGGGAAGAAAGCGTTGTCTGGAGAGCGCCATTGACGTCCTTCGCCTCGGCGGTGATTTGATCGAGGCATCGCAGATCCCACGCAACGACCCGAATGACCAGATTGTGTCGCCGTTGGATGACTCGATACCAGGCTTCTATTTCTCGAGGGACCACCGAGGAACCTACGTCTTGGTGCAAAAGCTCAAATTCCTGCAGGCCTGGTTCGTCAAGCTGGCAACGCCCAGAAGGGAAACCATCCTTTGGTCTGGCTTCTGGACGGATCCTCAGGCGGAGGTGGGGGCATCAAACTGCGGAATTTAGTGATCTAGTGTCCACGGGGATGATCTGGGGTTCAAGGAGCTTAGGTCTAGGGCGTCTTGGAATCTGATCCCAAGTCTGAGCGAAAGCGAAACCACGCTAGGCAGGCGCTGCAGCACGGACGTCCAAAGAACGGCTTTTTCAGTTTGCCGACATGACAGAGCACGACACACTGCACCCCAGCACCGAGTTGGGCAGACTCATGGAACAGCATCAACAGCTCCGAGCATGCTACATGTCCAAGAGCGACGTGGGTTTGCGAATGGCCAACAACATGTGGGCCTTTGCAAGCTTCGCTTTCGTCCTCGGGATGAGGGAGCAGGGGCAAGGCACTGTGGTTGTGTTGGTAAACAAGAAGCTGGACGGTGAGCGCAGGTTGCAGGATGCGGTAGTGTACAGGTTCGAAGTTCCGACATTGGGAATCGCCGCCTTCGGTATGGGGTTCTGGTCTCCGCACATTTTGTTAATAGACATGATGGGTACCTGCGCCGAGATTAGCCCGGCCTTGCGAGAGAAATTCTTGGAAGGGGCCACCAGCTGGTATTTCTCAGCTGCAACATCAGCCGCAGACATGCACTGGAGTGCACGAGACTATGCCCACCGCTCCGGACGCATCAGCTGGGAATGCCTGAACTGTCCAGATGATCCAGGATACGGTTGCAATCTTGACGAGCACCTCGCGCTGGCCGTGCAGAAGTTTCGGCAGGCTGGCCGTCTCTGTCATGCTTTATAGGACATGATCTTGCTAAAAACTTGTTTGAGAGCAAGAGGCAAAGACCAGGTCACTCCGAAGGGGGTTCCAAGTCTTAAGTTTATTTGATTTAGGTTTCTTTGCGCAGGAGAGGGGCAAGGGCGACAAGAATTGCAATGCGGCGATCGCAGCCGCCGGAAAGAGTCGTCGCCACTTGCAGGAGAGGGGGACCTCTGGCCGCTTTTTGAAGGATTTCGTCTGGACAGAGTCCAGCACCAAGTGCCAAGATGTGCCTCGACTTCTGCATTGTTACCAAATCCAGATTTCCTGCTTTCATGTTTTTGCATGTCCTAAGGCTCAAGGCAACACGCCGCTCCATTTTGCAGCATTGGTAGGCGACGAGCAAGTCGTCAGAATGCTGCTGGAGAAGAAGGGGGACCCCAATCCCAAGAACGTGGGCGGCATCACACCTCTGCATCACGCAACGGAGACAGATCGCACAGAGGTTGTTCGCATGCTGTTGGCAAAAGATGCGGACCCCAATGCGAAAACTAGCATTTCCATCGCGCCGGTGCATCTAGCAGCTTTGCGAGGTAATGCGGAAGTCGCGCGCATTTTGCTGGAGAAAAGAGCCGATCCCAACGCCAAACACCATGTCTACAAAACGCCGCTTCATTCGGCTGCGCTGAAGGGTAGCGAGGACGTCGTGCGCCTGCTGTTGGAAAGGAAGGCAGATCCCAATGTCAAAACCTCGCTTTCCGAGACACCACTTGAGGGTGCAGTAGAACAAAGTCATGAGGAGGTCGTACGCATGCTGCTGGAGCAGAATGCGGACCCAAATGCCGAGGGCGACCACGGCATCAAACCGCTCCACCTGGCAGCGTTCGGAGGAAGCGAGCAGATCGCGCGCATGTTGCTGGAGAAGAAGGCGGATCCCAATTCCAAGGACGACCAAAGCAGCACGCCACTCCAACAGGCTGCACAGGAAGGTCACCAACAGCTTGTGCACCTTCTGAGGAGCTTCGGTGCGCCAGGGTGAGGGGGTTCCCATTCATAGGAAGCAGTGCCTGCGTGACAGACAGGCAGCTGGCAGGTCCTAATGAGTGCGGAAGGCCAATTCTCTCACCTCTTCCACGGCCCAGATGAAGAGGATGCGGTCTTCAGGGTAGACTGTGCATGCAGAGACGCGAAGCTCAGGAGCCCGAGAGACGCTTGAAACATCTTGAAACCCTTGGCATCCGTGTGCCTGTTGCCATAAAAGTGTCGCGCTGTCCACGGCTTCCAAAGTCCCCTAGATCCCAAAACCCCGAAACACCGCAAACCCTGAACCCCAAGCCCGGGACGGAATCCTCGCGTGCAGGCGCGTGGATGTGCCAACGTTATGCATGCCTGGGCCATGCTTCAGCTCCGAGAGAGGCCCGGCCGAGGCTTTCGCGTCAGGAGATCGTTTTGGCGGGTTTAGGGTTTAGGGTTAAAGTAGGGGTTTACAGTACAAGTCTGTGCAAAACGGGCTTGGAAAAGATTTTTACCTAAGCCGATGGGATGGACATCTCCGCCGAATTGGCCGCGTCAGAAGTCGCATCCGGCTGATGCCAGCGCTGGGAACGCTTGAGGCCTAAGGCCATAAAGTCCCCTAAACCTGCAACCCCCAAACCCTAAACCACTAGTTTCGGCTTTGGGGTCAAACTACAGGGCCCTGGAATTACAAGGAATTTTTTGGGGCCTCCCATCGCATAATTCGGTATCATTACATAAGCAACTACAGGGTTTTGCTGTTGCACACGCTTTTTGGGGTCTGTGAAATTTAGTTTAGGGCTTGGTGGTGCCCTTACACGCACGCCATCTCACGCCCTGAACTCCAGTGGGGACCTCCAACCCGAAGCCTCGGGGGTCAGGGTTTGGGGCGAGGGCTTGAGCCGTAGGGTTGCGGGTTTATTCGGTGGCCGTTACGTGGGGTACCTATCCTAGAAAGAGTGATTTTGTGCTGACCTCTTTCGGGCCTCGGCTGAAGAAGGCACTGCTGGCAGTCATCAAGTCCGGTTTCAGAAAAAAGGTGTAGAGGTCAGGGTCCGCAGCGTTTAGGGCTAAGTTTAGGGCTCCACCAGCCCGAAACCCAGGACTTTCATCGGTTGTGCCTCGAAACGCTGGTCGGGCTGGAAACGGGGGGTCTGAACGCTTTGATGCAACCGCATTGATTCCAGCATTTTGTTGTGGGCTAGACAGGAAGCATGCTTCCCGGCACCGGCTCCTAATTTGCCTTTATCTTCAGTGTGGCCTAGGCGGGTCATGGATTTTTTGGGTTTCTGGTTAGATGTAGGGGTCAGCCTCGGATTTAAAGTTTTGGGCTCCGGGGGGCGAGAAGAAATTCATGTTTTGGGCCTCCGACGGCTTCGAAGCAAACTCCCCACAACCGCTCCAAGAAGACCTCAAACCATCCCTCAAACCCAAGCTACCCTAGATCAGCCTTGCCTTTACTTTAGATCTTTAGATGCAGATAACAGGTACCCCCTACAACCTTGCATTTTCCTTACTGGACCTTGAGAACAGAGTGACACCCCAAACAAAGAAACCCTAAACATGTGGGACACTCAAGAATGCAAGCTGTGCAGGCAGCTGCCAGAGCTTTGTTCTCGCGCTGATCTGCTCATCGCGGATTGCTCAGCCCGCGAGTTTGCGAAAGCCCCCGGGGTCCAAGGGTTTAGGGTTTAGGGTTCAGCGACTATGTTTAGGACTTCATCATAGAGTTGTGCCAGCGCGGTTTTGCAAGCCTAGCCTGTGTCGTCTTTCCGGGTCTGCCAGTCGAGAACGAGAAGGCGGGCCCAAAGTTAGGGTTTTTGGAACGACCGAAGCTGGCTTCGAGCTATCCGAATCGAACATTTGGGCAAAGAAGTATCCCCTCAACCCTGAACCCTGAACCCAACATTAAAGTATATAATGAGGAGGGAAAGAAACCCAACAAAGTTCCTTGCAGCAGCCCCGGAGCTTCAGCGCCGCGCCAGGCAATGAGCAAGAGTTGGCAAACATCATCTATTCCCTCGGGAGGCTCCGTGTGAAGGCCGGCTTCGGGGAGTTCTCCGTTCCGGGTCCTCGGATTTTGGAGGAGTTGTAGGCGTTGAGGGCGGTTTTGGCGTTTGGGATCCAGGAGGCCTGTGCAGCAAGGCGGACGCGGATGCGAGAGAAAGGTTGGCTGTTCATGTTCTGAGATGAGCTGGTGGAGCAGGGGTTTCAGACCTTTTCTGGACTCTGCAGCTCGTCAAGCGAAGCACAGGACCTCGATCCAAGCTCACGAGGTGGAGGGCATGGATTCAGCTAGGACAGAGAAGCAAATGCAAGTAAACTCATTCAAAGTGTAGCCTTCGGTAAGCATCCAAGGGCTTGTGTTTCTTTCTTGGCCCACAGAGATGGTAAAGCTTGGGAAGAAAGACTAAGGGGCACAAAAAGGTGGCGATATATATATATATACACATACACACGCACACACATACGTATATACATATACACACACAACGGGCTGCAACCGCGATCGGAACCTACGCCCGAAATGATATATATATATATATACATATACATACATACATACATACATACATATATACATCCATCCATCCATCCATCCATCCATCCATCCATGCATGCATGCATGCATGCATGCATGCATGCATGCATGCATACATACATACATACATACACATGCACGCGCGCACGCACATACACACACACACACATATATATATATACATACATACACATACATACATATTATTTTTTGAGCCAATAATAATGAGAATAGAAATGTTATAATGCTATCAATAACAGGACGAACAACAACGAAAAACAACAACAGATTTATTATTATTAACAATATTATTAACCATGAAGAAACTTAGTAATAGTCTTGGAAAGAGCAGGCGCCACTGCTGCCACGAGCGTGCGCCGAGGCATTCGGAAGGCCGGTCATCAAGACGTTCTGTGCGATTTTTATATTTAGATATTTTTATATTGTTTTATTCTATGTTTTACTTAAAACACCAAACAAAATACATAATGCAATAATCCGGCTGGCGGGACCTTTATGTGGCAAATCTCCTGGGCCCCTGCTTCGAAGCCAGGTAGAAGCTACCATAAGCTACCGCAGACTGAGACTGAGACCCTGCCGATTTCTCCGATGTCGCGCGCCCGTCGGGTATAGTCGAAGCTTTTGCGCCAATTGCCGGACTTACGCTCGACACCCTGAGCCTTCCCTGCGAGGGTGTCTATGCTGTCTTCCCAGGAGCTGGCATGCCGGGGAGGGTCTAGCAGCCTAGTCTTCAGGGACTTTCGCAGAAAGGGCTCCAGGCCTCGGCTACGAGTTTCGCACAGGCTTTCGGTTGGAGGGGGTCAACCGGGGGGTCTCAGGGCATGGAGTTGAGGCTTTACAAGGCAAGGCCGAGGGTCCATCAAAGTAGGGTGTATATTGTTATTAAGGGTTTGTGGTGAGTGTAGACCGGGTTCCTTGTGCGTCTGTGCTATGGGGTAGGGAAAGATCGTGCTCAGAGGGATGGAACCCTCGAGGAGGGTTTCTTTTTTACAATTACGTAGAGACTTGAAGGTACTTTGCTGATTGGTCAGACCACTATCTGACTTACGGGTTCCATGCAGGAGGTCATTCCTGGGGTTTGGGCCACAGGTTTCTGGGAGTGGCTAGGAGGACGCCTTCAATCCGACCCCAAGCCGGGCCTAACCCATATCTGAACTCACACCAACAATATGCAACAGCACTTAATCGTATGCTTTTGTGTTGGTTTAGGGTTTAGGGTTTGGTCTGGTGATTCGGATTCAGACGCGGAAACAGGCACCCAAGGTTTCACAGTCTTGATCCGCAGCTTCGTTCCGGCTTGGCCAGGCTTTCAGCAGATTAGGCAGCCTGACATTCTAGCAGAATGCTTGCCAGATTGCCCGCTGAGTAGGACAACGGAACCCGCCTCAACTCGCAAATTATCGCCCCTTCGGCGAAGAGCTCCAAGCCCCCCCCCCCCCCCCCCCGACCTTGGACCAGAACCCGATGCCCTGAAGTGGACCCGACTTCCTGCAGCCTCAGCCCCATGTCGGCGTAGATTCCGAGAAGCCCTGCACCCCAGACTCAACACCACCGTTGAGGAGCCAAGAGGCCTATACTCCACTTGAATCTCATTTTACCTTAGACAACATCATACACGCCGCAGCCCCTAGAGCTCTAGAGCTCTCAACCCCACAGTGCACACCCTAGACCAGGAAACGCGAAAGCATCAGCCTCACACTCCGTGCCATGCGCCATCTACGATGGCCAGTGCTGGGGTCTCTGGGGCTAACCGCAGTCATCGGCTCCGAGCTGTTCGACTGTCGCTCGCAGTGGGGATTTAGGGATTTAGTGGTGTGGTTTGGGGGTTTGGCTTTGGAGGAGCCGCGGGTTTTGAAGGCTTAGCTGTGGAGCGTCGTTAGAATGATGGTGAGGGGACGGCGGAGTGTTAGTCAGGTCCTGCCTGTTGCTTGGATCCCTTGGGAGCCTCTGCGAACGTCCCCCACCCCAGCATCCCAGAGCTAAGGTACCGATGACGATGAGTGGATGGATTTTCGGAGGCCGCTGTGTCATCCAGCTCGGTTCTTAAGATACCCTGGAGATCCTTCAGACACCCTGAGGATCCTTGCAAGACGCAGCTTTCGGTTGCAAGGTCCCGCTCGAGTGTCAAAGGGGTTTACAAGGGGGATCTCTGAAGCGGTCTCAGAAAATATCTCTTTGCGACGGATCTCTGGTGTGCAAAACAGGCTGGTCGAGGCAAATGCTGCAGCCGGCTACCCCACAGATGTGGACCTCGTAGTCAAGGCCGGTGGAGCCTGCACAATTGCTGTTCTCCGCCGTGAAGCTGCTATGGTTGCTATGGTTTAATCTTGCCCCAGGTCCAGCAGCTAAACAATCCCTCGTGCAAAAGGGCTTCAGGCGCTCCTTCCATAGCCTCGGTTTCCCTCTTCATGAATCCCTTTCAAGTGCTGCGCCGACATGGATTGGCCCTGTCCAACGGCTATTCACAGTACCGTGAAAACCCTGCAGAGGCACAAGGCCTGGTGCAGCTGCAGGGAGCCGCGATCGAGGCTCTGCATTTGTTCGGTAACTGTCATTCAGATTCTAGTTCAGATTCGTCGTGATCATGAAGCACAGCTGCCACAAGCAAGCTGCAATTTTGGAGCGTTTGAGCTGGAGATGTCATGGCAGGGCACCAGTTCAGAGACGCAAGCCGGTGTGATTTTTTGAACATGCTTCGATGCCGCGCTGGACGGGCTTGTGACGACAAGCCGCCACAGTTTTAGTGGACGGGTCAAGGTTGCGACGTGACCCTGTTGCAGGCTTTTGCTGATTTGCGAACTCTGCAGCGCTCGAAACCTAACACCATAAACCCAGAAAGCCTTCAACCCGGACACTCTCGACCCTACCTGGTAAGCCCCGAACCCGAAAGACACAAAAGTGCTCCGGCAGACTGCCTGGGAGGTGGATCAGGAGGCCGCTTACGGTGCAGCGAAGGGGATGCGTGACTCTGGCAGACCAGATATAGGGCCAATATATATATATATATAGATAGATAGATAGATAGATAGATAGATAGATAGAGGGATCTGAGGGTTCAGGCCTTTGGGCGTTCAGGTTTTTTTGGGAGGATGTTTCTGATTGAGAGGGCCTGATCATGGTTTGTGGTTTTCGGGGTTTTCGGCCCGGACGGTTCGGACTTTGGGGTCACGAGGCTGTGCCAGGAAGCCGGATCGTGCCCTCAAAGCTCCTATAATCTCCCTACACCCGACCTCCTCTCCTTCGGGGGCCCTCAGAAAGGACCCAAGTCTTTCAGGATTTTTTTTTTTGATCTTGTCTCCCCAAAGAGTTGCGGCTGCAGTTTTCAGGTGACTTCCAGAGAAGCTGCAATGCTCCGCCCTCGGCGCCCACACCGAGTCCCTTCTGCTTGTGCTCCCGAGGGAACCGGAGACATCTAGAAGATCCAATATACAGTATACAGCTAAAAGCAGAAGTATCTGTACTGAGTACCTCTACAGCGTCCGGGGCTAGGCTTTCGTTCAAGGGTCGGTCTTTTGGGGTTCGGGTCGGGTTTGAAAGTAGAATCTCGAAGCTCCAAGCCTTCCAGCCTTCAACCTCATCAGAGTAGGGGTTGGTTTTCGGATTTGGGCTTTCAGGGTTTCAGGCAGTCTCAGAGCTGTGCCATCAAGATTTGGGTTTGGGCTTCCCTGGGGCCCCCTGGAAGGTACGGGGTGGTGACGGCCCTCTGGGCTCCCCGGCAGCAGCGGAGACTCAGACTTTAGGGGCTCCTAAGTCTTGTTCAAGTTGACGAAATGAAGGGGCGAGTGTGCGTGTTTTCTGATGGTGACGAGGATGGCGATGGTGGTGATGATAATTTGCACGATCACGAATCACGATGATGATGCTGACGTTGCTGCTGAAGCCGATGCAGAGATGCTGATGCTCTGCTAGTGCTGCTACTTCTCATGACGACAGCAGTTCTGACAGTCGTACAAGGGGAGTCTTCCTGTCCCCTGCTTGGGCGGCCCAGGTCGTAGCCAGACATTCGCATCCAGATCGGAGAAATCTGCGGCTGGTCTGTACATTATCACAAGTTACAGATGATCAGACTTGAGCAGATTTCTTCGCACGGCACTTGCGCGGCGCGACTTCGTTGCTGGGGATTTTGGTTCAGCCGAGGGCGTAGGTGCCCCATGCCCGGCAAGCGTCGGGAGACGGCTAAGCCGCACTGAAGCTGACCGGGCTGGTTGTAACTTCAGCCACGGAGGTTCGATCTCAGGCTAAAGCCTTTGATGTATAAAAGATTATTTAGTTATATAGTTATATACAAGTTTGTGTGTATGTATGTATGCATGTACGCCAACTGCAGTATATATCATATTTCATGTAGGCTAAACCCCCATAGAGCTTGTGCCCAAGGTTACAGCACGCCAGCTTCCTCCTGGGCTCCACGCTGAACCATGTGCTGGACTTCACGGAGAGCTCTTGGCCTGGGCTGGGTTTTGGGCTGCTTGAGAGGTTTAATGGGGGCTACATAGGTGTTGGGAGGAGGGTGTAGAAATATTGTTCGGATTTTTGCCAAATCCTTTCTTAGCAGGTTTTCTGGCCGGAATCACTGCTACACTGTTATGCTACCTGAGATTCGCAGTCGAGTTGATGTGTGTGGGACCATTACAAAGGCTTTGCTTTGGTGTGGGTGGGCGACGAACATGGCCGGCTCACCTTGCGCTTGATCTTTGCTCAGTTATTCGGGGTTCCTGGATCCTGGAAGTAGGACTTAGTCATGATGAACCTATGGTGCACGCTGCGGGTCTGCTGGTCTGAGTACTCATGTTGTCGTGATTTCAGCATATCTTCATTTTCAGTGCCTTGGAGTCTTCAAAGCTTGAACGAGCTGGTGTTATCATTCTGCTTGTTGCGCATCCGTGCTGGGCCATCGTAGCAACCTCTAATAACTCGCCTGGTATCAAGGAGTCCTAGCTGCAAAACAAGTTTCAGATGTGGGAGTGTCAGAAGGCAGGGGACCGTAAAAGAAATTCAGAATCAGAGGACTCGTATTGCAAGGTAGAAAGGCGGCGCTTTTTCGAAGGAACCCGGACATGTCAGATCTTGCTCGTATGGGGAAAGCTGTGTAGTCGACCTGGCCGCTGCCAGCCGGTATCGGAATGCAAGACAGTGCAGACCGCGAACCCCTCTTACATTTAGGGCCCTAGGGGTTTGATGGGGTCTTCTGCTTGCATTATTCGCAGTTTTTGATATCCAGAATGCGCCCCAATTATGCAGAAGAGCACTGCCAAGAAAGGTTCCGCCTGGCCCATCACACTGGCCGATGTTCTTGCGAACATCGATGCTGCCGACCGAGATGAGGATCCGCAACCGACCTAAACACTGTCACTAACCTCCAGCCAGCCATACGGCCAGGCGCTTGGCAACGCTTAAGCTCCAAACCACGTGCTAAGGTTATCTGTGGATCTGCCTTCTGACCTGTCTATGCATTTGCCTAACACTTGCGCTGTTGCTGCGACGCAACAGCAACAAAAATCACCGTAGCCACCACCACACCGCCACCACCACCAGC